TAGTAAGTCGTGGAGGTTTTAGACATTTAAGATGCTGGAATTGACAAGGTATGGGGAAACCGGAAAGGCAGATTCAATGGATCAATACCTGTATTTCGGAGTAAAAATACTCATTAACTATAAATGGTTCTCCAGTGAAAATTCTCGTTAACTTTAGATTGTTCTCCCATAAAATTCTTCACTCCACATAGTGGGCCGAGACTAGGTGACCCACTGTCACCTTTTCTGTTTATACCAGTAATGGAAACATTAAGTCCAATGCTTATAGAACCATAGACCATGGGTGGCTGCTATGAATCAAGAATGAAGATAGACGTAGTAAGTCACTGGAAGTTTTAGACATTATGTACTGACAATGCTTGGGTTTTATGTGGTACTTATGTTGCTAGACCGTCTGTCCGCCACATTAGTCTGCCAAAGAGTAGTATATTGTATATCACAGTCTACTTGGGACTACCTATGGAGGAAAAACACAGGTAGTATGAGAAAGTGACAGAAAAATGTGAGTAAAAACTAGTTCATTGGAAGTAGTAGTATGAATCTTTCGAAGGTGACTTATTCCCATCCTACCCCCCCCCCCCCCCCCCTAAAAAAAAAAAAAGAAAGAAAGAAACAGAGATCTTTCGAAGGTGACTGCATTAGTTAATTGCTTTTCGCATGGAATTCCTAACTATCTAATGCCACTACTAACCAATACGAGCGAAGTATAGATGCAATTGAATACAAATAGGATATGACTTCCTATGGGAAGAGAATAATGAAAAAAAGAAGATAATGGAACAGAAAATTTGTTGAAATTTATGACTAAAAAATGTACAAGAGAGGTTTTTAATTAAGGAGATTTAGGCCTCATTTGTTTGCTCTTAATGGAGGTCTGAATCTTAATTATTCAGCTAAAGATCATTAAGTGTGTTTGTTTTTTTAGTTTCACAACCACTTAATGGGTCTGAATGATTAAGATTTATAACAGAGATTTAATTTCATTAAGATGTTACTATACACATTCACAATTAATTACCGCCACTGCCCACCATTATCAACTACCACCATGCACTACCCACCACCTCCATACTCAACCACCACCACCGACCGCCACCATCCTCAAGTATAATCGTCACCGCCATCATTATTCACTACCACCACTCGCCACCTCACCATTAATGACTACTACCACTCACCACCCCCACAATTATGAACTACCACCGCCACCACCACCATTATCCTCAACCACAACCATCCGCCCACCCACCTGAACTACCACCACCATTATTAACCATAATAGCCAGTACCCACCATTATGAACTACTATCACTTTCCTCGACCACCACCACCACCATCCACCATTATCAACGATCACCACCTACCATTCTCAACCATAATCTCCACTACCAATCACTACGAGCTACTACCTCGAACCACCACTATCAACCAAAACCACGACCAACCACCACCTCTAGTCGGCATTCACAAATACCACCACCTACCATTCTCAACCATAATCTCCACTACCAATCACTACTAGCTACTAACTCGAACCACCACTATCAACCCAAAACCACTACCAACCACCACCTCTAGTCGGCATCCACAAATACCACTGTTAGCCATCACCACCATCATCTACCATATATTTATTTACAAAAATATTTTGTTGATAAAATATTAAGTAAATTAGTATTTTTAAATTTTATATTTATTAATTTTTAGATAAAGATAAATTTTATTCATTCAGATGTTGAAAAAACAGTCTTAATCATTTAGTATTCAGATATTAATACATATCTTAACATTCAGATGTGTATTCAGATTCGGACATCTTAATCTTAATACGCATTTTAATATTCAGATGTGCATTAAGATTAAGACGTCTTAATATTAAAAAAGCAAATGAGGCCTTAGGCCTCATTTGTTTGCACTTAATGGTGGTCTGAATCTTAATCTTTCAGATTTTAGTCATTAAGTGCATTTGATTTTTGGATCTGAATCTTAATGATTCAAATCTTAACCATTAAGTATGTTTGTGTTTTTAGTTTTACAACCACTCAATGGGTCTGTAGAGATCTTAATGATTAAGATCTATAACATAGTCTTGATATCATTAAGATGTTATACATTCAGGAATTTATGTAAAAAATGACATTTCACCATAACTCTTACACTTTCAACACTAACCACCATCACCACTGCTATCGCAGTTCCCCACTACCACCACCACTAACCACCACCACCCATTACTACCAATCCTCAGCCACAACCACCATCGCTGTCAAGCACGAATGTCAGTTGTCACCACCATTAGCCATCATTTACAAACATCACCACCAATTACTATTACCATGACAACCATCGATCACCACTATCCGCCACCACCGTATATCACTCATCGTAGTTATTAGTCACCACCACCATCAATTCCGCCGTTATCTGCTATTGTTATCCACCAGTTACTATCCATAATCACTACCATCAACCAACGGCCAACACTACCACCAACACCTAGTCAGCACCCACAACCACCACTTTTCTCCATCACCACCACCGACCACCATATAATTTTAAAAAATATTTTACTAATATAATATTAAACTAGTTATTGTTATTTGATCGAGTTTATATTTATTAATGTTTAAATAAGAGAAAACAAACCGTCTTAATTATTCAGTAATCAGATTTTAATATTCAGATGTGAATTTAGATTCATACGTTTTAATCTTAATACACATATTAATATTCAGAAGGGGAGTCTTGGCGTAACTGGTAAAGTTGCTGCCATGTGACCAGGAGGTCACGTGTTCGAGCCGTGGAAACAACCTCTTGCAGAAATGCAGGGTAAGGTTGCGTACAACAGACCCTTGTGGTCCGGCCCTTCCCCGAACCCCGGGCATAGCGGGAGTTTAGTGCACCGGACTGCCCTTTTACACATATTAATATTCAAATGCGTATTCATATTCAGACGTCTTAAGCTTAATAAAAAACAAATGAGGCCTTAGACTACGTATAATGATTTGTTTTACACAATGAGGTAAGTAATTGTTCTGTAATTAAATTTAGAATATTGTAGAGTGTTCGATGGAATAGTCTGTATAATTCTCCTTAATCAAGTCGTACGAATTAGATAGATTGTGAATCTAGACACAACTTCATTAATTCGCTGGACTTTGAACATGCCTCTTCAAACTTGATATGGTAAAAATACCTGAATAGCTAATTAAAATTAGAAAATCATGTTTATTATGTTGGATCAACGTTTATCTCTTCATCGCCTTCTTAAGACAAAGCTAATTGGGTTATGGCGCCACTGTGGATACATGAGGAGAAGTTTTTTTGGGAATAGTGACCAAAAAATGCGATTTTTAGGGAGAATGCTCAATACATAAACTCTTATACAGTAGATTAGAGATACTTCTCTAAATATTGATCGAAAATTTAAGGATCAGAGAGAGGACTCTACCATATCATGAGAGGAAAACAAAAAGAATAAGAAAAGGTGATGTTGGAATAATCACCAAAAGGATGCGCCATGCCATGGAGCCATCACCTGAAATAAGAGTGCTATCACTAGAATGGTCACTTAAACAAGACAAGAATATTATGAAAAGAAGGAAAGAAACTTTATCCTAGCAAACAGACATAAGGCCTGATAAGCAAAAGTTAAAGTCTTTTCTGGGATCGTAGAAGCCCTAGAACCATGGGAAGATAATAGAAAGAAAGGTAATTGCTTCTAAACACCAGCAATCACTTCATGCTGGTTTTTGTTTATAAAATTACCTTACAAAAACAATAGAGAAGAAAGGAAATAATTTGTTGAATTGATGATTAACATTATACAGTAAGAACTCGTTGTATAGGAATCTTATACTATGTGCAAGATGGTAGGTAGTTACTTCTATGAGTAATAAGGTAAGTAATTACTATATAATTAAATAGAGAATATTTTGCGATATCCTTTAGGATATTCCATAACATTCTCCTTACAAGTCTAATGAATCTAGACATCTATTGTTTCATTAGTTCTTTTGACATTTAACAAACCACTTAGTAAAGTAGTATGATTACACGAGATTGAGATGTGTAAATGCAACAATTAAGATATCAAGACTTCCAAGAGCATCATCATAGTATGAAGATGTAACCAATAGAATTGAAATATGATAAAATGAAGAGGAGAGGTGTTGCGTGAGTACTATAAGATTGGAGATACCTTACAAAGTGAGAGCCAGATCTCATGGAAGAGTAATGTCATATGAGAGTGAATGTTGGGCTTTAAAGTCTAACATATTTACAAGACGAGTGCCACGGAAATGAGTATGGTAAAAGGAAGTGCGACCATACAAAATTAGACAAGATTATAAATGATTATATCCATCAGAAGATGAATGAAGTACATATAGATGAACAAATTAGAGGTCACTGGAGATAGACTATATATCCTATGTAGACATCCATATGCACCAGTCTGTAGGTGCAGAAAGAACTTCGCAGGATGTTCAAAGTAGTCGGCCCAGAATGCCTATGTTCCTTCCTAAATACTACTTCAGACGAATGAGAAATTACGTCCTATGATGACTGATGTCCTTAGAGCAGATGAAGCAACTCTAAATTCATATGGAGGGAAGTTGCCACAGGGAACCTATTATTTCTTGAGACGTGTTGGAAAGGCATCATCTGCTTCTATTGAATGGTAAAAGAAACTTAATTGGATTGCTGGAGTCCTAGCAGAACTGGTTTTCCTGGAACAATTTAAATAATGTCCCTTACTTTGAACTGAGAACTTTCTTTTTCTTTCTTCAGCTATTATATCGGAGTCTTACAATATTGCTTATCGTGGATTATAACACTTGCTTTAAATTGAGAACTACTTTCTATTTCTTCCTTCAGCTAATATCTCATACCCCTACTATTGCTTCTTATGAGTTTTAAAACTTTAGTACATATATTGGATTTGACATAATTATTGATAGTGATTCCCTAATGCGAAGGCTTTTTCATGAATGTAACAGGTGGCTTATACAGAGAGAATTGGACAAGAGTGGTCGAAAGTTGCAGAGGAGACCAGTCGTTATTCAAGAGAGTATGCATAAAATGTATGCTGTAAAACCAGATTTTACCTTTTCGTTCTTTCATTCTTGTTTTTATTGAGGTGTACAGCGGGAACATTAGAAGATACATCTATACTCAAATTTTCCTGTTTTCCTGAATTTCCCACTCACGCTTAAAAATTATTTTCTTGTTTCTCAATGGAAGGTTTCCTTTCAGTGTATTGTATGAGTGATAAGCTGCTAACTGGCAAGCATGAAACCGAATTGCAGTTCTGTGGAAGGATGGCTTATTTTCTGGATAGTATTCATGGCCAAATTGAGGAACCAGTGTAATTGTAATTCAATCTTGGCACCCGTCGCTATCTCAATGAACTGGAAAGTGTGCAGTGCTTCCTTGCGGCTACCTGCCTTGACCTATGCCTGTCTTGGACACGAGTGATAACCCTTAGAAGTAGCCTGTTGAAACAAAAGCTTGAAAATAATATATCTTTTACTTTGAGGCATTACGTGCATTTGCTTCTATAGTTTTTGGATGAGCTCAGTATCCAGATCCTTGTATTTACCAGAATCCTGCTTAAAGTCTTAAGATTCAAGAGCGAAATTACATTTTTGTATCTGTGTTTAAGGGTTATATGTTTTTTGTCTTATTCCTTTAGTTGTGCAGATAATTCTTATGGAAAATGGTAGCCTCTCCCGATGTTAAATCATGAATGGGAAATATCACTTTCCTTTTGCATGGCCAATCTGTTCTGTTTTTCTTTTTAATTAAAAAATAGTACGTAGTATTTTTTTGTGCGTGTGACTGACGTGCGCCAGTTGACGTTAATCATGTGATATGCATACAATCCTTTCAATATGATGCTGGCATTAGTACTGGCGGACACAAATCATGTCAATTTGTCATTTGAGTTGTTTGAATTATGTGCAAATAATCTTAATATATAAATTTTCCTGTTAAATACTATTTTCTCTGTTTTAATTTGTTTGAACTTATTTGACTGGGCGAAGTTCAAGAAAAGAGAGAAGATTTTTAAAACTTGTGGTTCAAAATAATTTATAAATATTTGTGTGGCTGTAAATTATTTCATTGAGGATAAAATGAAAAGTTTAAAGATATCTAAATTTAGAAAGGGGACTGAAAAGGAAATAGATTCATTCTTTTTGAGATGTATGGAGTAATTTAAAAAAAAAGGACATAAAACTATTTCTCAAATTTTATGATGGATAACACCCAATCCCTTGATTTTAGTACTTGCATTTTGTTTCAGTGGCAATATTAAAGAATACTAAACATGTCATATTGTGATGTCTTTTTAGCATATTAGATCATATTATTTTAACAAAATTCTATTACAACTTTATTTTTCATCTCAAATTCAAAAAAGTCTTATGCTATAACGATCCGACCAGTCGTTTTGTGTATTTGAAACCGGTTCCCTTATTTGATGCTTCCCTTATGTGCATCTATCGTTATGTGACTTGTGTGGATTGTTAGTTTGGTTTCAAGAAGGTTTTGGAATGAATTGGAACACTTAGTTTCATGGTTGGAAGCTTAAGTTATAAGAGTTGACCGAGGGTTAACTTTGGTGTAAACGACCTCGGATTGGTGATTTGATGGTTCCAATGGTTTTGTACGGTGATTTTGGATTTAGGAGTATGTTCGAAATTTGATTTGGATGTTCCTAGATTGATTTGGCTCTAATTGGTGAAAGTTGAAATTTAAAGGTTTGGAAAGTTCACATGTTTGATTTGGAGTTGACTTTGAGGCTATCGGTCGGATTGTTATTCCGGAAGTTGGAATAGGTTCATTATGTCATCTAGAACTTGTGTGCAAAATTTGGGGCCATTCCGAGTTGGTTAGACGTGGTTCAAAATGAGTTTTGGAAGTCGGAAGTTTGATTAATTCACCAGGCTTGAATAGAGGTGCGATTTATAGTTTTGATGTTATTTCGTGTGATTTGAGACCTCAAGCAGGTCCGTGTCATGTTTTGGGACTGGATATTGTGGTTGGACGGGATTCTGGAGGCCTCGGATGAGTTTCGGATGGGCTTCAGACTATCAATGTTGAATTGGCTGATCAGATGTGGCATTTTCGCACCTGCGAGATTTGGCCCGGAGGTGCGAGTCCTCATAAGCGGACTTGGGGTCGCAAATGCGAGCTTGGATGGGATCAGGTTTATCCGCAGAAGCGGCAGTCCTTGCGCAGGTGCGCAAGTGCATGTGCGCTACATGGAGCGTAGAAGCGGATCTGCTGAAGCGAATGGGCGGAGGCATACGTGGATTCCGCATCTCCGAGGCATTTTCCACAGATGAAGTATCGCAGAAGTGGCATTTGTAACACAAAAGCGATAATCACTGGGCAGTACTAATTTAATCAAGGATTTGACTTATTTTATCATATTGTGAGATTGGAGCTCGGATTGAGGCGAATTTTTAGGCAAAATTTTTACCCACTTGGATTGGGCAAGTGTTCTTGACTCGAGTTTGATGATTATTTATAATTATGTCTTTGATTTTGGCATTTGATTTGTGAATCTAAGAGAGGAAATTTGGGGGTTTTGGCAAAAAATTTCTAGAGTAAAAAATGAAGATTTGAACCCCTATTTGAAGTCGGATTCGGATGAAACTTATATATCTGGACTCGTATTCTTATGAGTGAATGAGATTTTTAATATTTGTCGGCTTTCGGGGTGCAAGCTTGGGTTGACTTTTTGAAATTTTGATATAGACTAGAGCTTTATTACTTGGAATCGATTTTTATAGCCGGGCTTGATGTTATTGATTTGTTTTTGATTAGATTTGAGCCGTTTGGAGGTCTATTCCATCGAGAAAGGCTTTTTGGAGTATTAATTCACTCAGTTTGAGGTAAGTAATGTGTCTAAATTCGGTTTGAGGGTACTTTTTCCCATTGGCTATAATATTTGAGATATATTGGTGGTGGCACACGTGCTAGATGGCGGACGTATGTGCGTACACCGAGGTTATTAATGATCCGGATAGACCTTAGGCTATTATGTACTTTGTTTTGCTACAATGCCTTATTATATCCGTATTTTCTCTACTTGTATGACAATTTAAGCTACTATTCATGCTTGGTTGTCCTCGTATCATGCCATCTTGGATTATCATGCCAAGAGTGTGACTTTAGCTATGCTGGGGTTGCCTAGATTAGAGCAGAAAGTGACTCTCGGTCATTCCACTAGCATGGTGATTTCATATTTGAAGGCTCAGCGTATGGTTGAGGAGTGGTGTCTAGCATATTTTGCTTACATCCAGGATTCTGGTGTGGAGGTTCCTCCTATGGATTTGATACCGGTTGTGAGGGAATTTCCAGAGGTGTTCCCTATAGATTTACCGGGCCTGCCACCCGGTAGGGATATTGACTTCTGCATTGATTTGGTTATGGCCATTCAGCCTATTTTTATCCCATCGTACCATATGGCTCCAACCGAGTTGAAGGAATTGAAGGATTAGTTGCAGAATTTGCTTGACAAAGGATTCCTTAGACTGAGTGTTTCACCTTGGGATGCACTGGTGTTGTTTCTTATGAAAAAGGATGGATCGATGAGGATGTGCATTGCTTATCAATAGTTGAACAATGTTACCATCAAGAACAAGTATATGTTGCCAAGAATTGATGATTTATTGGACTAGCTTCAGGGTGCCAAGGTGTTTTTCAAGATTGATTTGAGATCTAGCTACCATTAGGTGAAGATTAGGGCATTGGATGTCCCTAAGACAACTTTTAGGACTCGTTATGGTCAGTGCGAGTTCTTAATGATGTTATTTGGCTTGACTAATGCACCAACAACCTTTATGGATTTGATGAACCGAGTGTTCAAACCTTATTTGGGTTTCTTTGTGTTTGTCTTCAATAATGATATTATTGTTTACTCTCGTACTAGAGAGGAGCATGAACAGCCTTATTTGGGTGATTTTGGGCATAGGGGCGTGTCCGGATTGTGTTTTTGAGATCCTTAGCTCATTTAGGCTTGAAATGGCGAAGGTCGAATTTTTAGAGTTTCGGGCCGATAGTGGAATTTTTGATATCGGGGTCAAAATCCGACTCCGAAAGTTTGAGTAGGTCCGTAGTGTTGAATATAACTTGTGTGAAAAATTTGGGGTCAATCGAACATGGTTTGGTCGGGTTCGGCATCGGCTGTAGAATTTTGAAATTTGAAGTTCATTAAGTTTGGGTTGGAGGGTGATTCGTAATTTTAGCGTTGTTTGATGTGATTTGAAGGCTCGACTAAGTTCGTATGGTGTTTTAGGATTGGTTGGTATGTTTGGTTTAGGTCTTGGGGGCCTCGGGTGTGTTTCGGGTGCTTAACGGATTGGTTTGGGACTTATGCCTTTGCTGAAGTTTGCTGCACCTGTTGTTTTCGCGCCTGCGGATTTTGGACCGTAGGTGCAGTGCCGCAGAAGCGTCTAGGGAGCCGCAAAAGCGGATATGGACCTTGGCAACTAGGACAGCAGGTGCGGCTGGGGGAACGCAGAAGCGGGCTCGCAGATGCGGCCCCAGCCCAGTTAAGTGGCTTTCGCACCTGCAATGATTCTTCTGCAGGAGCGGGACCGCAGATGCGGTCCTATGAGCGCATAAGCGGAAATCGCTGGGAAGAAAAAGGGGATTCGAGGGTTTGAAATTTCATAACACAAAATTCAATTTGGAGCTCGGTGGAAGGTGATTTTTCGAGGGATTTTGAAGGAGAGCTATTGGGTAACTAATCCTAACTCGATTTTGATGATATTACATTAATCTATTGTTGTATTCTTCATCTAATTAAGGAATTTGAGGCTGGAAGTGTGGAAAATGGGGTAAATGTTCCCCAATCAAAAATCTGAGGTTTGAGTGGGAATTAGGCGTCGGTTTGGATGATTTTTGTATGAGTGAACTCGCGAGTGAGTGGGTGTTCATAATTTGTGACTTTTACCCGATTCCGAGACGTGGGCCCGGGGAGGATTTTGGGCGTTTTTCTATTTTCTTACCCTAGCTTTGATTTCATAAGCTAAATTAGTTGCTTGTAGCTATATTTACGTTATGTAATTGATTTAATTAGATTTGGGCCACTCGAAGTTGGATACTCGTGGCAAGAGCGTGATTTCGAATTGATTTTGAGCTTGGTTCGAGGTAAGTGGCTTGCCTAACCTTGTGTGGGGGAACCCCCCCCCCCCCCTTAGGATTTGGTACTGTTGTTATATGAATGCTGTGTACGTGAGGTGCTGAGGGCGTACACGTGTTGTTTGTTGAAAACCCCGTTTTCATTAAGTAAATATCTATGTTTTCCTTTAATTGAGCAATACTAGTATATGTAGCCATCCTGTTTAGCTTAGGAAAGCATGCTTACGTGCTTTAACTATCTTAACTGCCTTAACTGCCTACCTGGACTATGTGCAGCATGTTTAGAGTAAGAATTACCTGTCTTTTTTGATATGAATTTAATGTAAACTGTAGAATTTCTTGTTGAAACTATTATTTATATTGATTGAGCTGTATGTTTACTATAGGACTACATAACCGTATTCCGGGAGATCCCCCTGCACATTTATGTTTGGGACTACGGGACGGTATCCCGGGAGATCCCCCGGTGCTGGATGTATTTACTTTGGGACTACGGAACGGTATTCCGGGAGATCCCCCTTGCACATTCATGTTTGGACTACGGGACGGTATCCCGGGAGAT